CTTATCCAGTCTCCCATTCTTAGGGCAGGAGTAGCACTCACACCCGTAATCCTAGCATCACACCCTTGATCCAGCCACCTCTGGGGAGCTCCACCCCTGCTGCGCGAAGCATTGGAGGACATCCAGACCCAGCCACACAGCCACGCTCTGGGCAGGCCTCTCCGCTCAGCGTCTCCACAGGGCCCAGCGGGGGAGGACACAGCCCGAGGTCAGCGACCCCAGGCGGTGCGCCTGTCCGGGGCCACCGTCTCAGGAGCTCACAGCTGCAGGGCAGGGCGGGAACAAAGCATCGCCTTAACCCTTTGCCCTGTCCCCGAAAGTCCACGTTTTACTATGTTTACCTTATTGCTGCATTTCTAGTGGTGTATAAATAGAAACACAGTTTTTGTAAATGACACGGAAGCATGTTGCGGCTGCTGCCCTTCGTCTCCACAGCGTCGGGGTATAATCCCTAGACAGCAAAGGACGTGCTGGGCCTTGTACAGTGCCACTGCCGCAGGCAGGAAGCTGGCACGGCTCTGCAACGGCCGGACTGGCAGACTTGGTCAGATTTGATGTCACTAACTGTCCATCACGTCCTCGATGTCAAGCAGGATCCGGACAGCACTGACCCACCCCTTCTCTCTCCTCGAGGGGGACAGTCACCCGGGCTTTTCCCCCACGACACTGGCATTTGTAGGAACAGAGGTTGTTTGCAGAATGTCCCTCTTCGAGGGTCTCGGCCCTGGCACCTGCTCCCGACCCGTCCTGTGGAACCACCAGAATGTCCTGGGTAGATCCCACCCTGCGGGGGAAGAAGCAAGTCCCCTGACTAGGGGACAGTGATATCCTGGGGTGGTGCCAGGGTGACATCCATGAGCCGGGGGGGAGGGGACCAGAACCAGGAAGGCTGCTGGGGTGCCCTGGAGCACCTCGACCCCTGCTGAGGTCTTCGTGAAACTGAGGCTGCTTCCACAAGCCTGGAGCCTCACTGACAGTTTGCTGATTTCATTTAATTAAATTAATTAACTTATTTGTGGTGCTGGGAGTTGAATCCAGGTCCTTCACAGTGAGCTACAGCCTTGGTTCTTTTTTTTTTTTTTTTTTGTTTGTCTTTTCGAGACAGGGTCTCACTGCGCAGTTCAGGCTGGTCTGGAACTCACTTTGAAGCCCCAGGCTGGCCTCAAACTCACAATGATCCTCCTACTTCAGCCTCCCGAGTGCGGGGATTATAGGTGTACACCACCATACCCGGCTCCTTGGCTTTTTCTAAAACCTCATTGGCTATGATATGCCACTGTGCAAAGCTCTTTGGCTCTTTTTAATTAACTTTTTTTTTTTTTAAATTTTGAAACAGGGTCTTGCTAAATTGCCCAGGCTGGCCTTGAACTTGAGATCCTCCTGCCTCAGCCTTCCCAACTGCTGGGCTGAGTTTACTGATTTTTTTCAAACTATAAAATGGAGGTGCCTAAACTGTTGGGCTAAGGAGGGCCCAGTTTTAGACTGGCTCTCCATCATCTGGCTCCCCTGGGGCAGGAAGATAGGCAGGCAGGCAGACAGACAGACAGACAGATAGACAGATTGCCTCCTCCTCCCTTTGAGGTCCTACGTGAGCCACTTGAGTGGGGAGCCAGGAGTCCTCCTCCAGATCTCCAAAGGGACTCAAGAAATCTCAAGGGCACACTTCTTGTCGGGACCTGGAGAGGTCCTTGCTCCATCTCTGAGGCCCATGACTGGGGACCAAAGAGGTTAGCATGGTCGGTCTTCCTGGCTAACACACCAGATGCAATGGCACACAGAAACACCAAAACAACACCCAGGATTTGGAGGCAGGTTTATTTACATCGACAGGCACTGATTGGGATCATTTCCAGACTATCAGGCCCTGATCTCTGGTGGGCTAGGGCTTACATGGGAGTGGTATATATACAATGTGCATCATAGTGACCAGCTATTCTTTTTTGTTTTGTTTTGTTTTTTCTCCGGTACCGGGAACCGAACTCACGACCTTGAGCTTGCCAGGCAGGCGCTTTGCTGCTGAGCTAAATCCCCAGCCCCAGTGACCAGCTATTCATCAAAGTGATCAGCTGTAGCTGGGTGTGGTGGTGCCCGCCTGTAATCCTAGCACTCAGGGGGCTGAGGCAGGAGGTTCCTTGCGAGTTCAAGACCCGCCTGGGCTACAAAGTGAGCTCAAGGCCAGCCTGAACTGCATCGCCAGACCCTGTCTCAAAAAAGAAGAAACAAAATGAAACAAAAACAAACAAACAAAAAACCCACAGTGAGCAGCCATTTCTAAGAGACGGGAGCAACTAGATCCAGATCTGGAACAGGAGCTACTACCTGAGCAACTACATGCCCACTGCCCATTCTGCAGTGCCCTTGGATGTTTACCCAGTGTGGCTGCCAACTTGGCCCGGAGTGCAGGGGCCCAGAGAGAGACACACAAGCCACAGTCCTCAGGGGCCTGGTCATATTTCCTCCTCAAGCACCCCAGGCCGCCCTGGCAGTGCAAGGAGGGGACCTTAAAGAACAGGGCAGGCGGGGGCTGGCGGTCCAGGGACAGCAGTGGGGCCCAGGTGTCCCCAAGGTGATGGGGACAGGTGGAGTGGTGGTGTCAGAGGTCCTCGCCCATGCAGGATGGCCAGATGGGGCTGCAGCTCTGGGATGCGGGGTCCCCTTCCAGTACCGCAGCGGCCCCAGGATCTCAACTGCGTGGAGCAGAGCCGATCCTCCAGACCTGTGATGCTTCGTGGAGACAGAACTGGGACCTCAGCCCTGGACAGCGTCTCTATTCCACTGAGAGGGTGCCAGCACCCAGCCACCATCTGGAAACAACCGGCATTAGACATGGCACCGTGTCTGGGAAGGTGGCCAGGGACATAGCTCTGACCATGTGCTGACCTGCGCTCCGCCAAGTCTCTCATCCAGACCCAGTGACCCGGCCAAAGGGAAGTGGGCAGGCCGAGCACGGAGGAAGAGACCTCGGGAGTGCTCAACACTTGGACCACGGCTATCTGTCCCCAGCTCTGTCCTGGGTGTTCCGGGTCCCTCACGGCTGGTGCAGGTGGCTGCAAGTGGGAAACTCCTTGTGTGGATCTAGTGGGATGGGTGGGCTTGGGCTGCGGGGTTGAGCTCTGGACCTGCCTGGGCATCTGTGAAATTATTATCATGAGGGTGCAACTCTTGATGATAATTTCTTGGTTTTTTCTTTGTGTTTGTTTGTTTTGTTTTATTTTTTGAAGATAATCTTGGTATATGCCCATAAAGCCACTATATGTAGCCCAGGCCAGCACTGAACTTGTGGCCATCCTCCTGCCTCAGCCTCTAGATAGGGAGAGGACCCAGGAGTGGTGAAGGTCCCTCACTTGCTCCTCCTAAATCTCCCGTGGGGCCTCTGACTGGCTGCATTTGGGGGAAGTGGATGCCCACGGTTCTGCCCCACAGGGGTCAAGGACAGGCGGCAGAAGGCACCCTGGGAAGCAGGGGACTTGGGGCTGGACTGCAGGGACAGAGTCACTGGAACTGGTGCTGCGGTGTCTGCCACCTCTCCACCCTCCTCGTCCTTGTCTCCTCTCCAAAGATTAGGAGGATATTGATTAGTGGCACTGGAGAGGCACCTGGGGCCTTCACACGAGCTACAGCCCCGTCCCTTTTCAATTTTATTTATTTATATTTTTATTTTGAGACAGGGTCCTGCTAAGTTGCCAAGACTGGGCTCCAACTTGGAATCCTCCTGTCTCAGCCTCCCAGAGTTCTGTGTGGTGTGTGTCATCATGCCCAGCTGTGATGTTGAGTGTCATCCTCACAGGTGCGCACAAGAGATGTGTGCGGCCACAACTGTCTGCACCAACCCGGCTGGAGACACGAATGCCGCTCTGACTGAGCTGGCCTGGGCGCGGCCCTGGGTGCAGGTGGCTTATTTGTGGCCATGGGAGAAGGGCTGCAGAGAGGGAGAGGGAGGGGACTGTCCGCGCCCCCAGCACTGGGAAGCAGACTTTCTGTCATGTGCACAGTGGCAAGGGGACTCAGCCTGGGCACCTCGGTGGCCCCTGGTGGTACAGGGCTTGGCAAGGCCTGGCAGGGACCCCTGAATGCCAGAGGCCAGGCTCCCAGCAGTGACCCCCAAGCCTGGGCACTGCCCATGCCACAGGGAGCTGTGGGCTCAGCCAGCTGGGCACTGGGGTGCTCGGCCAGCGGCAGCCCAGACTCTGTCCTGCATCGCCCTGCAGCCCGCGGCCTCCCACAGCCTCAGTGCAGGCCCAGCGCTGGGGGTGAGCAGTGCACAGAACGGCCTTTGTCCGGCTCTCGGGGACACAGGGCTCTTTGTGGCACCTGGGAGCCGGGCCGGGGTGGGTGGGAGGCGCCAGGAGGGCAGAGGAGCAGTCGGGGTGGTTGAGGTGCCCCAGCTGGCAGGAGCCACTGGTGCAGGGCCCTGGGCTCGAGGGCGTCGGTCAGTCGGGAGGAGGCGTGGCCCTGTGGGGCAGCGGGAGCCAGGCTCCTCACCGCTGTCTCCGCGCCGAGGCTTCTGGCTCTTCTGGGGGAGGGGGTGCTCCCAGGAAGGGCCAGCTCAGGCTCAGGGCCAGGGCTGTTGCGTGGGGCCATCCCAAAGGCCAGGCCTGGCTCAGGCTCGGGGTGTGTGTGTGTGTGTGTGTGGGTGTCTTAAAATCCCTCTCTCTCTCTTTTTCCTCCCTCCCTCCCTCCTTCCCTTCCTTCCTTCCTGCTGTTTTGAGACAGGGTCTCTCCATGAAGTCCAGGCTGACCTGGAACTCACAGCAACCCTCCTGCCTCAGCCACCCGAGTGCTAGGATCGCAGGTGTGTGTCACCATGCCCAGCTGTGATGTTGAGTGTCATCCTCACAGTAATTCTGTGAGGTGGGCGCTGCTCCTATTATCCCTGTTTTCCAGATGAAGCGATTGAGGACCAGAGAGATGGAGCAGCCCAAAGCCACACCACTGGCAAGCCTCGGAGTAGGGATTTAAACACAGGCCCTCCGACTGCTCTCCAAGGGGTCAGGAGTGTGTCAGGTAAAGTGAATGTGTCAGGGCTTATGCCTGTGGGTGTGCAGGGGACGAGGCTGCGGGTGTTGGATGGGAGTGCTGACGGTGTAGCTAGGAGCCAGGGACTGGCCAGTGTGTGTCGGGGGGTGGACCCTGGCGGGAACAGGGGCAGTGTGTGTGGCCCCGAGGCCACATCCCTGTGCATTCCAGCTTGGTCCTGATGCTGACGTGAAGCAGACATCAGAATGGGGCTGTGGGGCCCAGGCTGCCTTTGCTGCTGGCGTCCTTGGCCAGCCCGCAGCTGGACACAGCACCTGAGCCAAGGCTGCTTCTCTACAGGGCTTCAAACACTGGGGCAGCCAGGCGCAGTGGTGCTCGCCTGTAGTCTCAGCCTTTGGGAGGCTGAGGCAGGAGGATCTCCTTGACTTCAAGACCATCCTGAAACACACAGTGCATCCCTGTTTCAAAAAAAAAAAAACAAAACCAAAGTAAGTAAATGATAAATACCTAAACAAACGCCAGCAGTGTTGCTGGGTGATCTTGCATGCCCTGCGAAGATGCTGGCCACCGCAGAAGCACAGGAGATGGTACCCATATGGCTGAAGCCTGGGGCACAGGAGGCTCCTGGGACAGGGCCACCCCAGCCGGGCCCCTGTGTCTCCCTGAGGACATCCTTCAGGCTCCAAGCAAAACTGATTTTCTGGGCAGGTGGCTGCGCCCTGCCAGCGGGTGGCGCCGGGTGGTGCCAGGATCCTCTCGCCTTTGTGCGCTGCTGCTCCTTGCTCTTCCTGACTCCCCTCCTCCCTCGACAGCTCTCTGGCAGTCTTGTGGTGGCCCTGTGACCCCAGCACTCAGGAAGCTGAGGCAGGAAGGTTACAAGTGTGAGCTACACCCAGGAAACTTAGTGACTAAGAAGACCCCGTCTTGGAATTCTTTGAGCCAGGGAGAACAGTTTAATGTGCTCCCTCAGTAAGGTGATAAGTAACTATTTTAATTTTTATGAACTTTACCATTTTGCATTTTTTCCAAAAACTTATTACCTAATGTTATTTAGTTCTTTTTTTTATTTTTTATTTTTTTATTTTTTGGTTTTTTTGCTCTTTTTGAGACAGGGTCTCGCTATGCAGCTCAGGCTGGCCTTGAGCTCACTTTGTAGCCCAGGCTGGTCTTGAACTCGCAACGATCCTCCTGTCTCAGCCTCCTGAGTGCTGGGATTACAGGTGTGTGCCACAACGCCCGGCTTCTTTTTTTTTTTTTTTGGTTTGGTTTGGTTTTGCTCTTTTGAGACAGGGCCCCACTGTGTAGTTCAGCCTGGCTTTTTTTTGTTTTGTTTTGTTTTGTTTTTTGTTGTTTTTTTCTGGTACTGGGGATTGAACTCACGAACTTGCGCTTGCCAGGCAGGCACTGTGCCGCTGAGCTAAATCCCCAGCCCCTTCAGCCTGGCTTTGAAATTGCTTATGTAGCCCAGCGTGGCCTTACACTCATGCATCAGCTTCCTGCGTGCTGGGATGACAGGTGTGTGCTACCACACCTGGCCGGACTGAGGTAAGTTTGAGGCTAGTCTGGGCTACATAGTGAGACCCTGTCTCCATTTGGCTACGCATGAATCCTTCGGGTCCTTGGGGATTTACTATATTTTGGCTGCCTTGCTTTTGGGTGCAACAGCAAGTGCTGGGCGTCCTCCTGGGAGGCCGGCGCCCAACCCCTGCTAGGACTTTGCCCCTTGGCTCCCTGCGGTGGCTGCAACACCCCAGGGACAGCCTCAGTGCTGCCGCTGGGCCTTGGGGTCTAAATGCCCAGCTCTCTGGGTGGCCTGCTCCGCACTGGTCTCACAAGTTCTCCAAGGGTGCCGCCCCAGTTGTCTCTGAGGCCCCTGCTGCCCCCCTTTCTCTGCTCCCCCTGGGCTCCAGATCCCCCCAGAGGGTCACACAGAGGGTCACCTGCCTCACTGTGCTCCGGGAGCCCCCCGGGGACAGCATGGTGAGTGCTGAGGTCACTCTTGTGAGAAAAGGAGGAGACTCCCTGGGTGTTCTGCCCCCAAAGCCCTGGGAGTTGGGCTGGGGTGATCTGAGGTCACATCAGCTCAGGAGACACCGGCTGTACATGACGTGTCTCAAAGCGACCTCAAAATGATCTCTCTCGCTGGGTGTGGGGGCACACGCCTCTAATCCCCGAATTCAGGAAGCTGAGGCAGGAGGACAACAAGGAGTTTCAGGCCAGCCTGCAGTACATAGGGAGACTCAAAAACCAAAAAACAAAAACAGAAATGATGTCCTCTCTCCTTCCCTCCCTCCCTCTCTCTCCTCTCAATTATATGCTTGAGCAGCTAAGCCCAAAATTGGCCCATCCGCAGCAATTAAAAGCTTCCTTCACAGACCCTGGGGATTTCTCTCTGATCAATCAGAAAACACCGCAGGTGGGAAACAGCTAAAGCCAAGATGCAACCAGCAGGTCTGCGCTGTTCAGATGTGCTAGAGCATCGTTCAAATGAGATTTTAAAAGAGCTTTTATTTTCCAACACGGTGCGTGCATGTGTCTGCGCGCGCGCGTGTGTGTGTGCGTGTGTGTCCATGTGCGCGATGCTATTATACCTAGGACCAGAACTTCTCACTTGTTTTCAATGACACTAGGAAGAAGGTGCTGTTACTCTCTTTCCTACTGTTGCAACTCTTGGCTCAGGGAGGCCAAGTGATTTGTCCGGGGTCGCACAGCCAGGAAGCGGCAGCCGGCAGTTTCTTCAGAGGCTGGGGCCTGCGCCACCTGTCTTTTCCCTCTGAGAGGAAAGCACTGCCCTCCCCTCATCGCCTGCTTTGAGGGACTGAAACAGGGTGGGACTGATGCTGCCACTGTCGGCTGTGACGTCAGAGAATCTGTAAACCGGATCTCCAGGCCCCAGTGCCGATGTCTGAGACTGGACCACAGACCCTGAGGTGGGGACGCTTCCCAGGCCTGAAACCTGGCCCCAAAGGAGGCTTCTGTGTACACAGCGAGCTGGGTGTTCCTGGAGCTGCTGCTCTGCTGGGGACAGCCAAGTCACTCCCTCCTGGGCGGGCAGGGCACTTGCAGGAACAGAGCACTCTGGCTCTGCACTGCCTTGCCGGCCTGCTGGGGCAGCTGGGTGCAGTGTCAAGCGGACTGGCTTTGGGATCCATCCTGGCGCTGGTGGGGACATTCCTGGGTGTGTCTGGGGGGTCACAGAGCCGTGACCTTCGGTCCTGTATCCAGCCCTTGTGGCACTGCCCCCTGCTCTGCTCCCTGTGCACCATGAGCTCAGCAGCTTTGCTCCTCCTGCCCTTCCGCCGTGATGCTCCCATCTTGGAGTGGGCTGACCATGGACTGAGCCCTCCTAAAACCTGAGTCTGGCTCCCTCCCCTCCTCACGCGGCTTCCAGTACAGGAAAGCTGACTGGTGCACCTGCTTTGAAGGACTTGGGGGCCCAGGGAGCCGGGGAGGACAGTTGCTGAGGGTGTCTTGGGATGCCACAGGGAATGCCATTGTCCTGGCTTCACGAGGCAGCGCTCACTGTGTGGCTGTGGCCAGTCACAAGGACACAGACGGTCGAGGGGCGGCCCTGCCCGCTGCTCCATGTCCTGTTTCAGCCCACAGCCAGCCCCGTGGCACCGGCCTGGCCTCTCGGTGGGGTCCTGTGTCCAGTGAGGACTCGGCTGTGAGGTCTGTGACCCAGGGCTTCTGTGGCTGGATTTTCCCAGGTAGAGAAGAGTGGTGGTTCCCAGGGTGACTCTGCGTTGTTCCCCGGGGAAGCTGGAAATGTCCGGGGACATTTTTGGCCATCACCACCTGGGGAGTGTGCGCTGGCATCCAGGGGACCGAAGGCAGGGTGCTGCCACACACCTTCCTGCGCCCCAGACAGTCCCTGTGGGAAACAAGGACCTGGTCCACAGCGCTGGTGGTGCCGGGTGCGGCAGGCAGTGTGGACTCTCAACCTGATTCCTAGTGGCTGGGCTGGCCCCTCCTGCTCTCCTCAGCTGCCTCCTCCCACAGTCCAGAGAAGCCATTCAATAATTGCAGTACTGTTGACTCATTCTTATTTTGTTTTGTTTTTGTTTTTTGAGGTAGGGTCTCACTATGTAGTTCATGTTGGTCTTTTTTTTTTTTATTTTTCTGGTATGGGGAATTGAACTCAGAACCTTGCACTTGCCAGGCAGGTGCTTGTGCCACTGAGCTCTCATGTTGGTCTTGAACTCACTATGTAGCTCATGAGGGCCTTGAACTCACAGCGATCCTCCTGCCTCAGCCTCCCCTGTGCTGGAGTTACAGACATGAACTACCATACCTGAATTTTTTTTTTTTTTTTTTTTTGAGACAGTCTCGCTGTATAGTTCAGGCTGCCCCTGAACTCACTATGTAGCTCAGGCTGGCCTCAAACTTGCAGCAATCCTCCTGCTTCAGCCTCCCAGTGCTGGCATTACAGGTGTGCACCACCACACCTGGCCTTCTTTTTAAGAAATTTTTTCCCCCCCAATACTGGGGAGTGAACCTAGGGCATTCACAAAGATTTTATTTATTTCTTGGTTTTGGGGGGACAGGCTCTCACTTTGTAGAGGCATGCACCACTGCACCCAGCTGTTACTTTTTTTTTTTTTTTTAATATATGTGCTCAGTCGGAAGCCCACACTGAACAGCTCCAGAGGCCACACAAGGCAAAGGAAGGGCCCGAGTCCCTGTGTGCCCTGGTTCCCCCAGCCTGGCCCGCCCCAAGGAAGCACCGATAACTCTCTCTGCCGTGCTTGGGGGCCAGGCTTTGAAATCTCAGCGTGTGGGACACCTGGACAGCACAGAGGCTTGCTGTGGCCACTGTTCCTTGGGCAGTGTCTAGTGGTGCTCACCCCCCACCGGGTGCTACTAGCACCTTGCAGTTGACAGCCAAAATCGACTGCAGACACGAACAGTGTCCCCTCATCCAGGGCCACGCTTTGCAGCCACACCCTGATGACGACGCGTCTTTTCCTGAGCACAGAGGCTGTGGAGACTACAGAGTCTAGTTCTTTGTGTTGTAAACCGAACCCCATCTCAGAGTCTCTGGGGTACACATCATAGCACCCCAACGGAAATGCGGGACGGGAAGTGGTTTTCTCCCCACTTCCATCGCTGGATTTGGTCCCCGAGCCCTTTGTCTACATCAGGTGGGGATGGACACAGGTGTCCTGGAGCCCATAGCACGGAGGATGTGGAGCCCCTCCTGCAGCACCCATGGGTGCAGGCCTCAGGGATCTGTCCGCTCCGCCAGCGTCTGGCACTGGTGTTGGCCATGGCCTTGTTCCGGACCTTGTGGCCTTCCTAGGAAGGCAAGGGCGCCTGTCCAGGTTGGGCAGTCAGCCCTGAGTCCATTTTGTGCAATTCTGGGCCTGCTGCCTGGCCTCTTCCTGGAGTGCAGCTGGCCCAGATGCCCCTCATTTCCTGGAGTGGTGGGTGGGGCA